AATACCTTATAATTCCACTATAATTTATAAAGCTTAGTAACTAAGATGTATTTTAGTCAAAAAAGTATGAAATTTCGAACAGACTAAAGACACAACCTACCTCATTGTAATCTTGGTTCAAAATTTAAAAAATAGCGTTAGTCACGTTAGAAATGCTGAGAAAACCACAAGGACGACATTCTGAGCTTCCGATTGGTTATTCATGTCACATATAAAAGTAAGTGTATATATGGGAGCGATTCCAAAAATGGAAAAAAGTGGGGTGGGGTGCCACTGTGTTTGACTCACTTAGTATTTTGACTTCACAAACTTCTAATTTGAACCAGTGCTGCATTCAACATACCACGTAACACACAAAAATCGGTTTATCTTTTTTAAATATTTAATTTTAAATTAAGAAATTGAGTGATGTATAGTTCTAAAATTTGAATTATAATCTTCAGTTTGATACCAAACTTATTGAAATTAATGCATGAAATAGCAGTTCAATAAAATTTTGAATGCGAGTCAACAAACGAGATGACATGGCCTTTCGCTTGTGACCCGTCTTGAAAGGGTTAAACACTTTGAACATGCTCGTTTGCTAGAATAATCTGATGATAAAATACAATACTTGCATTTCCTGAGGGAATTCAATATTTGCTGAAAGATGCATTTCTCCTCCATGATTATAATGAAGAAGCTCAATTATTCGCTAAAGTTGAAAAATGATGCATAGAGAAACTTTTGAAGGAATTTGTCATGTTTTCAGGTAATTTTGATCCAGGCTATCAGGAAGACATGAAACCCAACACAAGGTTTTTTCTCATTGTATATCGACATAAGTATCCACATGCAAACTAGGAGCAAAAATCTTGTTAACCAAATGCCAAAACTTGAACTCAGCTGTTTGTATGAACAAGTTCTACTAGTAGAAAATACATTGGTTTTATCAGTGTGTGAGCAATATGAGGAAGATGGAGTTGTCTATCTATTTCATTGTATAATGTTTTAGCTCTTATTATCTTGAAGGGGTGTTTAATGGATATTATGGTGTGTGATTTTTTTTAAAGTCTCACCACATGGTTCCTCTACATGCACCACAGAAATATGAAATTCAACCATTTTATGTACTCTGTGCTGGTATTTTTATACATTAAAGCCATAATATTTTTTCTTTGCATTTATTCATAAAAATAATAGTAGCAATGGATTCCTCATTCCTGAAAATGTACGAAACTAGGTATAACATTAGCTTGTATATTAATTATTAAGAGAAGTATGATATAAAGTAGATTTTCGAAAATCCATGGTGGCCATCTTGGATATTAGAGGATTTCATGCCCCTAATATGGCCCAATTTTTTGGAGCATAAGATTTTTTATCAGTATACCAATAAGTACCTATGAAAAATATGGCACTTTTTCACTCGTGTAACGATCATTTTCGCTAAGCCACCCCGCTAGTAACATTACAGTCTCAAGAAAATCAGCCCAAAGAAGACTATTTTTGAGTGAAATGGATTACTTCGATCCAGCAATGTGGCCACAAACACCAAACAGATGAAGATGTTTTAGTACAGAAAGAGAAAGCTTCGTAATGTTATTGATTCATTGAGTGCCTGTGTATCCTATAAGCAGCAGTCACGTTTTCTGTTTTTGTTGCAAATAGTTTAACTAGAGCTGTATGCACAGATGGTCTGCTTTAGAATGTGACAGTTTTCTGATTTGAAAAATGTTTCCACTCACCTAAGTGAGCAGAACTTTTCAAAAGTCATAGAATGTATGCAAAAATAGAATGAACTTCAGAAAACACCGTCAATAAATAGCATTGTTGACAAAATAATGGAAAGACTCGTTAATAGTGAAAAGTAAAGATGGCATGATGTTTTCAAGTGCCTTCTTGCAATTATTCTCATAGAGCACAACATGGCGTTTTCTGGTTCTACTTACAAGCTGTAGGAGCAACATAATGAACATTTTATGGGCCTAAGTTAGTTGCTGGGCACATTCGTTTGTTTGTTTGTAATTAAGCACAAAGCTACACAATAGGCTATCTGTGCTCTGCCCACCACGGGTATCGAAACCCGGATTCTAGCGTTGTAAGTCCGCAGACATACCGCTGTGCCACTGGGAAACAGGGCACATTCGACCCTGTAAAAAAAGAGCATGCCTGAATGATCATTAATAATGAGATCACGAGTCGACCATCGGTAAAACTATACAGGTTGGGCTGATAAATAGCATGGGAAAACAATGTAAAGCTCAATAGTTTACTGGATTAAAAACTAAATATTATGCACCAGATCAGCGTCACAAGGAGCAACTGTCATTGACAGTCGAGGAGTCGCCAGAACTTTTCATATCATTCATTGACATAGAAAAAGCATGGATGAGTATTTAGCTTTCGTATTACAGACCTTTGGACTTTAGACTTAAATATTACGACATATGAGATCAAGGATACGACAATGGGGCGAACATGAAAGGACATGAATCAATTGTACAAGTCCGAATTAGAAACATTAACCCAAGCGCATTCTTTACCATTTGAGCATGTCAGTTTCAACTTAGTTTTTAACGACAGAAGTAAATTTACATATGGGTTGCAGACCCCTTTTTGGAGTTATTACACGTCTTTTTGGCCTTTTCGCGGCATCTACACAGCAGTAAGTGATACTGAAGAATCACATTTCGAATTTTACAATCAAACCTTTGTAATACGAGGTGGAAGTTTTGCATTAAAAGCATGAAAGCAGTTGTTATTAGATACCTGAAATCTGTGATACTCTTGTTGAATTGTCGGAAGAGTCTAATGATCCCCAATTAAATCAGTGAT